AGAGGAGTAATATGAAAAATATTACTGGAATGGTTAAAATGACCTCCCTTCTGACATATTTGAATTTACTCAGGTTTCTAATATTTTTTGTTTTCTTTCAAAGTAGGGTTTATCTCTTAAATTTTGTTATTGTTGGTAACTTTCTGGAGTATTTGAAACCTAGGATGGGTAAATCTATAGAAACAACACATAGATTGAGGGTTCTTAGGGGGAGCGAGGTAAAGAAGAGCTAATAATAAGTGCAAGAAGGAAGAAAATATTTTGAAGACTGATTGTGGTAGCAGTTGTACAACAGTTTTTCAACACTTCTTGATATGAGTGAACTATTATATATGCTGTCTGAATTATGTCCTAATAAAGTGATTAAAAATATTTAAAGACCAAATATTCCCAATATATTTGTAAGTATAATTTTTATTACTTGGCAATACATTTTAGAAAATCTCCCATGCTTAACATAGAAAAAGATACTCAAATTATTGGTCTTAAAGAGATTATTAGAAATAAGATATCCCACCAATCATGTGCTACAATGTTATGGTAACAATATATTTTCTAATCATTTTATGTTATTTCAAATATTGATTTTTTTTTTCTAACCAAAGCTTAATGCTCATCCCTGAAAAATATTGTTTCTTACAGAGCTGATCCTTTGTCCAACATGGTTCTAACCTTCAGTACTAAAGAAGATGCTGCTGCCTTTGCAGAAAAAAATGGTATGTTCTGTTTTCCTTGAGGAATATAGAATTTGAATCGAAAGAATTTTTAATGTATCTAATCCAGTGGTTAAGTAAAATATCAGAAAAACTACTCCCATCCCAAAAAACATTAATGTACCAAAAGGGACTGTGATGTACCAGAAAATGTAAAAGCCAAGTGTTTAATTTAAAGTTGAGTCAGAGAATGAAAATATTCACCTGGGCCCCTACCTTGTTCAAGAAACCCTCTATAGAATCATTTACCATTTGACCATCTAAAATGCATTTGAACTGCCCATGAGGCAGCCTACTTTAGTTTGGACATCTTTTTAGTTTTATATGTGAAAGTTCTTTCCTACTTTGAACCTAAATCTCATGGCTACTCCATCAAATAGCTCTCAGATTATTTGAAAATAATTATCATTGTTTTATTCACTCATAAATTTCTTTTCAACCTTTACCCATCATCTAGGTATGGTCAAGCACAATCCACAATCATATTAATGCAGCCTAAAAGTATATTAGCACTTGGGCATGCCACCTAAAACTCCCTTTGTAGGACATGCTGTCAACAAAACTCAGAGTGCACTCTTTTTCTGATTTTCAACATTGTTTCTCATTCACTCGACTGTTAATCCAGGCAATACAGTGTAGTGAAAGGAGGCTTTGGGGTTTTAGTAGTCCTGATTTTAATCCTTATTCCACTTTCAGTGTACTCGAAAACACAACAAAACCAATCCTTGGGATAGCAGTAGCATGAGGCAAAAGAGATGTATGGATTTAGAAGTGAAGCAAAAGGTTATTAAACAACTTGAAGGTGGAAAATCCATTAACAGTCATGATAATCCTCAAATCCAGAGAGAAAAATCTTCAAACTGTCGAAAGATTAGCTCTACAGAAAGCTACAAGGTTTAAGAAAATGTGAGTGGGGATTTATATCCAATATGGAGAAATCGCTAATGTCATGACTTCAGGACCAAACACAAGAGTAAAGCCTTTTCAGCATATTGTTAGTCACTGCTGAGGCACATCTCTTATTTGAAATGTTTAAAGAAAAAGCCAAGATCAGGCTTAGTTGTGGTTTTTACACAATGTCCAAATCATATAACATCCTATATTTCACAGAACCTTTCATGAATTCTAATTGACACTTGACTGTATATACTATTTTATTAGTGGTGGACCTTTAACAGCACGGATCCAAGGAGACTTAAAACTTTTTAGGCCAGCCGCAAATTGTTTTTTTACATAATTGTTCTCAAGTGATCAAAATCTTTATTATTTTGATTAAAAA